CCCCAAAACCCCAAAACCCCAAAACCCCGTAGAAATTTATTTTTGATAATTAAGTTAAACGTTAGATTTAAATAATTAAAATACCAATTTATCAAAGCAGCTAAAAATGAGCAAAAACATGCTAACAGATACTCTTCAAGAGGTAACATTTGAAGAGTCTAAGATTTCATCCTTTAATTCAAAGCTAAATGTAAGGTTTTGGATTTAATAATTTAGAATGTTGAACTTGATGACCTGAGGAAGGGGAAATTATTAAATCAGCCTAAAAATAAAGTTCAGAATGAAGGCTAAAAAATAAACATCAATAATCCGACTTCAAGGTAAAATATTCTAAAAACAGAGAGACATATTTTGCCTGGAAATAAGCAGACTGCTGATAGTCGATAGCTTTCCTCAAGGCAAAATGATAAAATCAAAGCTCAGTTGTACAATAGAAAATAAGGAGATGGAAAATAAAAATGTGTAGGCAAATTTAACCTGAATGATTCTCAATACAAATCAAGGTCATAGTCATCTTCTAGATCATCAATTGAGTCTGGATTAGGACTAAGCAAATAAGAACTTTATTAAAAATTGAACGAAATGAAGAACTGTATCGATATATACAAAACCTCAAAGCTAAAAGTAAGTAATTTGACAAGCTCTGTAGCTAATGGACCTGGGCCTGTTCAAAAAATGATGAATAAAAGTGAATTGATTAAGTCTGGCATTCTTAATGAGAGAAGAGAATAAGATTAAAAGAAAAAAGTCTATATAAACATCAATAATGAATATGATACATAAAGCTCAAATGAAAAGAGCTTTGGCAACAAGAAGTCAAATGAACATAGTACATTTACGGATGCTGGGTTAGATGGAAAATATTTGAGAGAATCGAATGATATCTCGATATCCAGAAAAAGTAGTCCACTTCTAAGAGTTTATGAGCAATCTCTAAATAATCCTTAGATAAACAGGATCGCAATAACTCAAGTATTCAGTGAGGATAAGAACAATTACGAATAATAAATCAATTAAACTTTAACAACAAATGATAATAATACTTTTTAGTCTTTTGAAAGAGGAGCTACAGGCCATTTTAATCAAAACTATATTAACAGTTCAAAGAATCAAAATAGTTCTCTACAAAGTGAACACGAAACATTAGCCAAGGTTTCTATCCTAAATGAAAACTGCTGCTAGTAAAAGAATACAAGCGCTTAATAAAATTCAAACTACAATACTCAATAATCATCTATGATGGGAATTACCAATGAATCAGTAGATTAGCCTTAGTAGCCAATTTAAATGCAATCTTATCCATTTAAGCCTTAAAATTCAGTCAATAATGATGTAAATAATACTCTTTTGAATACAAATGGATCTAACTACGCAAATCTCAACTAGAATTCAATTCAATCTGGATTCTATGATACATATAACTAAGTATACTTTAACAATATTGGAAACACTACTCTTGCAAACTAATCAGCTTACTTTAACATGCCTTAGAGTCCCAGATAATAGCAATAAAATCTAAACATATCAGATAGATAATCTGTTAAAGGCTAATTATCCCCTTAAAACATTCAAGGTATATTTGGAAGACTAAATAATAGCATCTATTAGCCAAGCAATGATATAATATAGGAGTATGTTTAGATGATTGAACGCCTACAAAGAGAAAACTAAGATTACAAGTTGAAGTTAGATCTTAGAGAGAAAGAGATATCAATACTCAAGGATTAAAACAAAGACTATGAAAATAAAATATCAGTCCATGATAGAATTGAGCAAACTCTAAAGGATAAAATTCACTAATTACAGCAAGATTATTATATCTCTAATAGAGAGAAGGTTGATAAGATTTAGGATGAGGAAGCCTACGCCTAAAAATTAATGGAGCTGTAAGGAGTATTATGCGATCTAGAGATGAGATTCGATATGAAGGAAAGAGAGGCAGAAAATACATATAAGGAAAACTAGACTCTCCAACACGAGCTCCAGAAGTCTGAACTTAAAAAGCAAGAATTACTTTAAAAAATCTAAGAATTTGACCTTATGCTTCGGGAAAAAGATTCAATCATTGATGCTTATGTCCAAGATATCTAGATTCTTGATAATGATTGCATGTTCTACAAAGAGAAATATGAATAAATGCAGTTTGTGATTGATGGTTGTAGTTAGCAGATGCAAGATTTCGAATAAGTAAATCAAATGTCATGTGATTTAATCGAGAAACTGTAAACTGAAGTTGAATTCTATAAAATAGAAAATGAACAGCTTAGAAATTGTGCGATTAGCGTAACTAAGACAAAGAGTGACATTACTTATTAACAAGAAAATCAAATTATAAAGCAGGAGCCTGCAACTATAAAGAAGGAGTCAATAGGTAATTAAAGAGTCTCTGATCAATCAAGAAGGAAATCTAGAGATCACTCACCCTCTCTGGTAGCGAAGAAATTAAATAACAATGATAGATTTATCAAAGTTCATGATAATTGTGATCCAAGAATGATGGTTCATTCTCCTTCAGCTTCTCAGTACTCAGGTGTCTCAACACCTTAATACTAGCAAGACCTGAAGAAGTTAGATCCTAGTCCATATAAACTAGAATATATCAGTCCTGCAAAGATCGAATATAATCATGAGCCTCTCAATTATTATTTAAGTCCTATCTCTACTGACTAAACAATTGAATTGTATTAAAACCTTAGATCACCTCTTGAAAATAAGAGCAATGCAGTTTTCACTCATCATAATAAATCTTCATTTATTCCAGCTGAAAAGGATGTAGATTCGTTAAAGCCTTAAGTCATTATGAATGAAATGAGAAAACCATGCGCGTCAGTGATCCAAAATCAGGAAAATCTTAAGTAGTATCAACCAGTAGATGCAAACATAGATAGACTTTAATCTGAACATGAGAAGAAATTAGAAAGATTTAGATTAAGGATGTAATAAAATGCAGTTTTAGAGTAATAGCTGAGCAAAGAAGATCTTGAAGTAATCAACGATATTAAAGTATGAGAGCACATAACCTAAAGCCATAAAATATATATATTACTTTTTAACTATATTGAACTTCATTAACTTTAACTGTTCTCCTTCAAGAATGATAATGAGAAACTTGGGGTTTTGGGGTTTTGGGGTTTTGGGGTTTTGGGG